CTACACACACACTGTCTTCATCCACACCACTACACCACACTTTCTTCATCCACACCACTACACCACACTGTCTTCATCCACACCACTACACACACACTGTCTTCATCCACACCACTACACACACACTGTCTTCATCCACACCACTACACACACACTGTCTTCATCCACACCACTACACACAACACTGTCTTCATCCACACCACTACACCACACACTGTCTTCATCCACACCACTACACACACACTGTCTTCATCCACACCACTACACCACACTGTCTTCATCCACACCACTACACCAGAGGGGGACGAGAGCCTCTATTTATCTATACACATACACACACACCGTTTACGGAAGCACGCACACATACACACACGTCTCCGAGCAGTACCTGTATACATTAGTACGTTAGCAGCGAGCGTGCACAATAAACAGAGAATGCCAGTGAAGTGATCTCATCCTGTAAGGATCTGGCTCATCACTGAGAGAGAGAGATGGCTTCCATCACCTTACAATTACCAGGGTGGGTCTCCTGGAATCTATGAGCAGGTTCTTTGTTATTGTTAATTCACTGGGCATGTGGAGGGATCAGTAGTCAGTTGAATTTAATAAACGTTATTGGTCGTATTTAGGTAACATTTTGAATGTTTTTTGTGGTTTTAACGTTTTTTATCTACACACAAAATCAAATGCAATGTTGCGCCTTCTAATTTGACCTTTTTTTTAAGTGACACCGAGGTGTCAAGGGTGTCAGTTGTTAACGGTAGAAGCTAGATTATTTCAGATGAGTTCCTTGTGGGTCTGCGGCTTCATTGCATTGTGTCATGGACCTTTTCTGTATTGTTCTTGGAGCCACATGTTGTCATCCAGACGTTTCCTTCTAAATGAATTCATCGACGCGTAGCCGTCAAGGCATCACAACTCAAATAATGCGACGGCCATTTTGAGATTACACCACACAGCCCTGGAGTTTGCTTTTCAATATAGCGGTTAACTATGCCTGTCACTCACAGAGAGGGAGTACCAGGGAGTTGAAGGCATGAGGCAAATAATAGGGGGGAAAGAAGTTGACAAAGAACAGAAGCTTGTTGAAGTCTGAGGCGCGTTATGTTGGTTTGAGGTTGAGGAAAGGGAGGGAAGAAACTGAAGACCAGTCGCTGTCTATGTTGTGTTGTACCACTCTCTGTATGAGAAGAATGATTGGCAGTGTGGGAGAGAGCAGGGAGCAACTGGGCAGTCACAGAGGTCAAACAAAACATTGACATTTAACAGACAATCTTACCCAGAGCGACCTACAGTATTGAATCCATATGTTTTCCCCCTTGGGAATTGAACCCACATGGCTTTGCAAGCACCATGCTCTACCGACTGAGCTACACGGGACAACTCAGTCCAGAAACGGCTACCACACCATACCAGTTCAGACCAGTTCAGACCAGTTCAGACCAGTTCAGACCACCCCTTATCCATCATGGACGAAATACACACACACACATACTCGCAAATATACACGGACAACATTGAACATAGTTGCACACACACACGCACACACACACACACACACACACACACACACACAACCATTGAACAATCTGAGATCAACACACACCCAAACAGCAGCTGGAGCAGTCCCAGTGCTAGCCTGTGCTAGCCAGGAGTGGAGCAGTCCCAGTGCTAGCCTGTGCTAGCCAGGAGCGGAGCAGTCCCAGTGCTAGCCTGTGCTAGCCAGGAGTGGAGCAGTCCCCAGTGCTAGACTGTGCTAGCCAGGAGTGGAGCAATCCCAGGTGCTAGCCTGTGCTAGCCAGGAGTGGAGCAGTCCCCCAGTGCTGAGACCTGTGCTAGCCAGGAGTGGAGAGTCCCAGTGCTAGCCGATGTGCTAGAAGGAGTGGAGAAGCCAGTGTAGATCAGTGCAGCAGGTGGGAGATCAGTCCCAGGTGAGCTAAGGCCTGGAGCTACCAGGATGGAGAAAGGGGGAGCCTGAGCACTGGAGTTGCCCCAAGAAAGGAGGAGAAGGGGCGGGAAGAGCAAGCACCAGACGGACCGGAGCGGAGGGAGACCAGAAAAACCTGAAAAGTTTTAAAAACAGGGGGAAGATCAAAGGGGAAAAAAGGACATGATAGGGGGAAAGGGATAAAAAAGAAAAAGAGAAGAGAGAGAGAGAGAGAAGAGGAAGAGAGAGAAGAAAGGAGAAAAGGCGGGAAGAAGAGAGAGAAGGAAGCGGAGAAAGGAGAAGAGAAAGAGGAAAGAGAGAAAGAGAGACGGAAAAAGGGGGAAAAGAGAAGAAGGAAGGGGAAAAGGAGAAGGGGAAAGAGAGGAGAGAGAGAGGAGAGGAAAAAAGGAGAGAAAAAAGAAAGATAACGGGAGATGTTTAAAAAGGGAATTATGGTCCCTTCCCCTCCTCTCTCTTTCTTTTCCCCCTTTATCTAAATTTCCCCCCCTCTCTTCCCCTTTCCCCCCTCCCCCTCAGTTGTGGACAGCCTGTTGTGAATGAGCTGTGTGAATCCCATTTAATGAATACTTTAAATTTGACGACAGTCGATTGAAAACCTCTGTGATGGCTTTGCTCATCGTCGTATTTTGGTTGTTCATTGGAAGGGCTTTTTGGAAGACAAAATATCGTCAGGAAATATTCAAACTCACCCTCATATCTGTGATCTTAAATTGCCAATAAGCCAAAGAAGATGAGCTCCAAAGCCAAAGTGCCTTTAGTATCATGATTTAATAAAGTAATGTTGTTCTCCTCTATTTCCCCCCATCTAGTCCCTTACTGGCTTTGCGTTGGTGGTGAGCAGCGATGGAATGATCTTCTTCTCTTCTTCCAACATCGTTGACTTTTTGGGCTTCCATCAGGTATGGTCTCATTATTGTTTTTATTTTTTTTTAAATTAATTTAATGTTTATTTTTTATTTATGACTAGTATGGTATTCCAGGCCATACTGGTTAAATGACGGACCTTCATTTAAAAGTATTTCTGCTGACATTTACCACAGTTGTGAAGCGGCGATTTAAGGGTAACAGATAGGTTAGCATGCCATGTAAAGTGGAGGGACTGATGTGTGTGTGTGTGTGTGTGTGGTGTGTGTGTGTGTGTGCGTGTGTGTGTGTGTGTGTGTGTGCGTGTGTGTGTGTGTGCGCGTGTGTGTGTGTGTGTGTGTGTATGTGTGTGCTCTGCACATTGAGCTCCCGAGTGGGGCAGTGGTCTAAGGCACTGCATCTCAGTGCTTGAGGCGTCACTACAGACCCCCCTGGTTCGATTCCAGCCTGTATCACAACCGGCTGTGATTGGGAGTCCCATAGGGGCGGTGCACAATTGGCCCAGCGTCGTCCGGGTTTGGCCGGTGTAGGCCGTCATAGTAAATAAGAATTTGTTCTTAACTAGACTTGCCTAGTTAAATAAAGGTAAAATAAATACATAAATAAAATTGAGAGAGCCCCCAGGCAGTGGTGAGTTGAGACAGGGGCCATAACCCACTACAGTCAGTGTCAGCATGGGAGAGATGTTACCCTGCCACCAATGGGAGCTGGCTGCAGCAGCCAGATGAATAAACAGCCACACCAGGTAGTTACCCTTTCCACTGTCTCTTCACACCGGGTCACAATGTGGAGGTGTCAGTCAAACGCCCCGTGTAGAGCATGGCGCTTGCAGCGCCAGGGTTGTGGGTTCAATCTCCCACGGGGGGGGGCCAGTATAAAAAAATTAAAATAATGTATGCACTCACTAACTCTGGATAAGAGCGTCTGCAAAATGTAAAATGTAGTTACCCTGCCACTGCCTCTTATATAGGAGGATCCAGCACCCAATTTAAGAAACAAACACGTTGTTTATGTTTTCTCATCATAATGAAGACAGACAGACACAGCACTAATATGCAACGCTGGAGAACACATGTAGGAGTGTATTTAGGGACAACACCATAAAGAAAGCACTGAAATTGTGCGGAAACAGCATTGTCACTTTGATCCTATTTGTTCCATTGTAATTACGCCTTTGAAGATGAAAGACGCGAGGGCCAGGGAAAATATAACTGTTCTTTTTTTTTTTTTACAAGAGAACCTCACACAATAGACAACCGATCTGTCTGCCGGTGGGAACTGTGGTGGCGCATGCCATGTGCTCCGGTGGGAGGAATTGTTTTGCGTCTCCATTGTGGAAATTATGGGGCGTAAAGGTTGAATATTTCAGTTGGAATCTGTCATTTCCCCCTGACAGAAAGCACAGCTATTGCTGGAAAGAGAGATGCATTACACGTGGGCTGGGTTGTAGGGGGGCTTGTTTTTTTTTTGTGTGTGTGTTTTTTTTTTGGAAGGCTGGGCTGCGCCGCTCTTAGGGAGCTGGTGTCACGCAATGTTTGACAAACAAGGCTTGCCCTCGCTGGCCCAGTGGCTCGGGGTCTTTGGAGAGCCACTGCAAATGCTGCTTGTATTGTGCTGTAGTGGAAGCAGTTGGGACCCTTCTGTGGCAGACTTTGAGGAATTCAGCAGCAGCACACACAAAAAGAAAAACACAAGGACAACAACAACCAGCTGCTCTCAGAGAATCTTTCAGTAAATATGTACGTTTTTTTTAAGCGCTGCGGTGGATATTTTGCTCTGAATACACGATTTAACTCAAGTTGTGTGAAGTCATTCACTGCAATGTTACACTTCAGTCATTCAAACAGTCACATTCTTTAAACAAAGCGTCGTGTATTTCTTTCAAAGTTATTCCAACCACAAAATGACCTAAACAAGATTTGATCCAGCTTTGAAACTCCACACCAATCCCAAGCTGAGAGACAGACCCATGATAGAGCTTTTTGGGTCTGCGTGTGAGGCCGTCGGACCGACCCATTGAACCGCGGCGGAGATTAAGTGGCGAGGGCGCCGCTGTTTGCCCTACACAATAGGCCAGACCCTGGATCCCATCAATGCTTCAAGCAGAGTGGGGTCTGGTAATGGGCTCAGGGGGTTATGGGTCGTGGTTCTGGGGCCTCTTTGCATTATTGTCTCTGTCTCTCACCCCATGCAGACGGACGTGATGCACCAGAACTTCTTTGATTATGTCCATGTGGACGACCGGCAGGAGTTCAGAAGACAGCTCCACTGGGCCATGAACCCCAGCCAGCACCTCTTGGTCTCAGCAACGGGTGTGTATATTATATAAGTACTAGCAACAGTACAGGGGGTTTAGTAGAGGGATGCAATCTGCCTATCAACAGCGGGAGTGAGCGAGCAAAAATTAGGAGTACTGATTCAGCAAAGAGTAAAGACTGCAACAGTTTATTTGTAAAAAAAAAAAAAAAGAGGCACTGTAATCCATTGCTATGAACTCTATTCACCACCACCAAGCAGACTATGTGATTAATGGCCAATGTATGAGTGGAAAGTCCCCATTTAAACTATGATACCTCTCCACGCCAGAGATGAGGTGTGTGTGTGTGTGTGAGAGAACACAATTGACTTTGCAATGTTCACCTATTAGTATTTTAGTGCTTGTCTACTGTAAGAAACTGGAAATCTGCATTGTAGTGAATATTTGTATTTTTCTATACAGATGAGGACTTTGTGGTGAGCAGCCTGTTCCATTCTCAGGAGGTGGGGGGAGTCGCTCCTGAGTTCTCCTCCTTCCTCAACCGCTGTTTCATCTCCCGCGTGCGCTGCCTGCTGGACAGCACCTCTGGCTTCCTGGTGAGTGGACTAACCCAGCCAGAGACCCCAGCCAGCCGTGATGCTTCTACTGAGAACTGACTGGGATAAACTTCCCAAAGAACAATCTCCCATTTGGTGTCATGTTTGCTGAAATTGTAGCTTGAGTGTAAATAGAATGTCCCCATATCCCGGACATAGCAGGACAAGTGATTTGGTGTGTCACGTTCGTTTAATGACGGGACAGACCAAGGCGCAGCGTGATATACGTACATGTTTATTCAACTAAATAAACACACGACAAAACAACAAACGAAACGTGAAGTCCTAAGGTAGATACACACAACATACCTTACACGGAACAAGATCCCACAACTCAATAGTGCCCATAGGCTGCCTAAGTATGGTCCCCAATCAGAGACAACGAGCGACAGCTGCCTCTGATTGGGAACCACACCGGCCAACATAGATCCACACATACTAGAATATACAACATAGAACATACACAACAAAGAATATACACACCCTGACTCAACATATAAGAGTCCCCTGAGTCAGGGCGTGACATGGTGCTTGGACACAGATGTATTTACTATTTAGAGCCATTGGTCCACCTCCCATAGCTAGTTTGGAGGTTTGGATCTAACAGTGGAAATTGATGGGGCTTGAAGTTGGCCTTGGGTTTGAACACTGGAGGGAAGGTCAACAGGGTTCCTCCTGTCAATGCTGTCATAAAGTAAAGTGACACAGGATGGTCATAATGCTTCATGACGGTGTCATAACGTGTATTTTCTGCAAGTTATTTAAAATATGATGGGGAAAAAAACATGAGTGTACAGAATTCAGAGTCACCTGTGTCATAGCTCTGGTCGTTCTGTTATTTCTCTAGGCTGTTGTGACTGAATGAAACTTGGCTCTGGTCGTTCTGTTATTTCTCTAGGCTGTTGTGACTGGATGAAACTTGGCTCTGGTCGTTCTGTTATTTCTCTAGGCTGTTGTGACTGAATGAAACTTGGCTCTGGTCGTTCTGTTATTTCTCGAGGCTGTTGTGACTGAATGAAACTTGGCTCTGGTCGTTCTGTTATTTCTCTAGGCTGTTGTGACTGAATGAAACTTGGCTCTGGTCGTTCTGTTATTTCTCGAGGCTGTTGTGACTGAATGAAACTTGGCTTGTCTCAATAAAATACTTTTTTCTTCATTATCAAAAGAGCTGAGATCAGACAAGTTGTATGCCATAATTCATTTATATAACATATAACATGCCATTTAGCAGACGCTTTTATCCAAAGCGACTTACAGTCATGTGTGCATACATTTATAGTATTATAGAGCTTCAAAGTATAGGCTTCTAAATGGCTTCAAAATGGCATCTGGCAAAAACATATTTCTTGACATGTCCGTGTTCTTTACCATATATTTTGTGTGTGCTAAACACTCCACCTCCACGTTGTGACCTCTGACCTCGTCTCTGACAGACTATGCAGATCCAGGGCCGGCTCAAGTTCCTCCAGGGCCAGAAGAAGAAGTGGGGTTCGGGGGCCCTGAAACCCCCCCAGCTGGCCCTGTTCTGTGTGGCCGTGCCCCTTCTGCTGCCCTCCATCACTGAGAGGAAGATGAAGAACATGATGATGGGGGACAAGCACAAGAGTGGAGGGGGCATCATCACCGCACTAGAACATGGGTAAGGAAGGGGGGCATCATCACTGCACTAGAACATGGGTAAGGAACGGGGGCATCATCACTGCACTAGAACATGGGTAAGGAACAGGGCATCATCACTGCACTAGAACATGGGTAAGGAACGGGGGCATCATCACTGCACTAGAACATGGGTAAGGAACGGGGGCATCATCACTGCACTAGAACATGGGTAAGGAACGGGGGCATCATCACTACACTAGAACATGGGTAAGGAAGGGGGGCATCATCACTACACTAGAACATGGGTAAGGAACGGGGCATCATCACTGCACTAGAACATGGGTAAGGAACGGGGCATCATCACTGCACTAGAACATGAATTCAAAATTGATTAAATAGATTTATTGTCAGCTTTTTTTTTCTTTTTTTTTACCCATCTACCAATAGGTGCCCTTCTTTGTGAGACATTGGAAAACCTCCCTGGTCTTAGTGGTTGAATCTGTTTGAAATTCACTGCTCGACTGAGGGACCTTACAGATAATTGTATGTGTGGGGTACAGAGATGAGGTAGTCATTCAAAAATCATGTTAAACACTATTATTGCCGTCCATACAACTTATTATGTGACTTGTTGAGCACACTTTTACTCCTGAACTTATTTAGGGTTGCCATGACAAAGGGGTTGAATACAGCTTTTCATTGTTAATTCATTTGTAAAAAATTATAAAAACATAATTCCAATTTGACATTATGGGGTATTTATTGTGTGTAGGCCAGTGACACAATCTCAATTTAATCAATTTTAAATTCAGGCTGTATACTTTCTGACTGGAAGTCAATGGGTATCATGCTAGCGTATACCCAGAGACCTGCTAGCAGATACCCATATACTTCCAGTCATTGTGCTAACACTAGTTAAAGATTGCGCTGGCGCTAATTAGCAACTTCCTTCAAACCACATGCAGAGATATAAAAATGGTGTCCACCAGTTCATCTCTCTCTGGGGAAGTAGATAAAGGGCCTCATTCCCAAAATCTCTAAGAATCCCTTTAAAGCTGAATCATATCAATTTCCATTATACACAGTTCTCTAGGCTGATCCCCAGCTTTGGCAGTGGGTTCTATAATCTGCCTGGCTCTGTTTAGATCCTGGGAAAGAATGCAATATTTCCCAGAATTAAATACAACGTTTTCGTTTTTGTCATTCTGGGAATTGATGGTCAATGTAACAAGTTGTTAACTTATTTACTTGAAAGGACATGGATAGCTGGGAAATATATGAGAAATATACGATTATTATAATCCACACACACTGATCTGATAAAACAGGATAAATATAAGATTATCGAGTGGCGAAGTGGTCTAAGGCACTGCATCGCAGTGTTAACTGTGCCACCAGAGATCCTGGTTCGTATCCAGGCTCTGTCGCAGCTGGCCGCGGCAGCGTCGTCCAGGGTAGGGGAGGGAATGGCCGGCAGGGATGTAGCTCAGTTGATAGAGCATGGCGTTTGCAACGCCAGGGTTGTGGGTTTGATTCCCACGGGGGGCCAGTATAAAAAAAATAAAAAAATAAAATAAAGATCTATTCGCTAACTGTAAGTCGCTCTGGATAAGAGCGTCTGCTAAATGACTAAAATGTAAATTATTATAAGATTATTATTATTACAGGATAAAGCAGAATAGTTGTATTCCTCTCTTGATGACATTGCAAAGAAATTGTCTTTCTCTCGATACGATCATCTCTGACATTCTCCCTGTATCATCTCTGGCATTCTCCCTGTATCATCTCTGGCATTCTCCCTGTATCATCTCTGGCATTCTCCCTGTATCATCTCTGGTATTCTCCCTGTATCATCTCTGGCATTCTCCCTGTGTCATCTCTGGCATTCTCCCTGTATCATCTCTGGCATTCTCCCTGTATCATCTCTGGCATTCTCCCTGTATCATCTCTGGCATTCTCCCTGTATCATCTCTGGCATTCTCCCTGTATCATCTCTGGCATTCTCCCTGTATCATCTCTGGCATTCTCCCTGTATCATCTCTGGCATTCTCCCTGTATCATCTCTGGCATTCTCCCTATATCATCTCTGGCATTCTCCCTGTATCATCTCTGGTATTCTCCCTGTATCATCTCCAGCATTCTCCCTGTATCATCTCCGGCATTCTCCCTGTATCATCTCTGGCATTCTCCCTGTATCATCTCTGGCATTCTCCCTGTATCATCTCTGGCATTCTCCCTGTATCATCTCTGGCATTTCATAATCCGGCATTCTCCCTGTATCATCTCTGGCATTCTCCCTAGATCATCTCTGACATTCTCCCTGTATCATCTCTGGCATTCTCCCTGTATCATCTCTGGCATTCTCCCTATTCATCTCTGGTATCTCCCTGTATCATCTCTGGCATTCTCCCTGTATCATCTCTGGCATTCTCCCTGTATCATCTCTGGCATTCTCCCTGTATCATATCCGGCATTCTCCCTGTATCATCTCTGGCATTCTCCCTAGATCATCTCTGACATTCTCCCTGTATCATCTCTGGCATTCTCCCTGTATCATCTCTGGCATTCTCCCTATATCATCTCTGGTATTCTCCCTGTATCATTCTCTGGCATTCTCCCTGTATCATCTCTGGCATTCTCCCTGTATCATCTCTGGCATTCTCCCTGTATCATCTCTGGCATTCTCCCTGTATCATCTCTGGAATTCCTTATCATCTCTGGCAGTCTCCCTGTATCATCTCTGGCATTCTCCCTGTATCATCTCTGGCATTCTCCCTGTATCATATCTGGCATTCTCCCTGTATCATCTCTGGCATTCTCCCTGTATCATTTCTGGCATTCTCCCTGTATTATCTCTGGCATTCTCCCTGTATTATCTCTGGCATTCTCCCTGTATCATCTCTGGCATTCTCCCTGTATCATCTCTGGCATTCTCCCTGTATCATCTCTGGCATTCTCCCTGTATCATCTCTGACATTCTCCCTATATCATCTCTGACATTCTCCCTGTATCATCTCTGGCATTCTCCCTGTATCATCTCCGGCATTCTCCCTGTATCATCTCCGGCATTCTCCCTAGATCATCTCTGACATTCTCCCTGTATCATCTCTTGCATTCTCCCTGTATCATCTCTGGCATTCTTCCTGTATCATCTCTGGCATTCTCCCTGTATCATCTCTGGCATTCTCCCTGTATCATCTCCGGCATTCTCCCTGTATCATCTCCGGCATTCTCCCTGTATCATCTCTGGCATTCTCCCTGTATCATCTCTGGCATTCGCCCTGTATCATCTCTTGCATTCTCCCTATATTATCTCTGGCATTCTCCCTGTATCATCTCTGGCATTCTCCCTATATCATCTCTGGCATTCTCCCTGTATCATCTCTGGCATTCTCCCTGTATCATTTCTGGCATTCTCCCTGTATCATCTCTGGCATTCTCACTGTATCATCTCTGGCATTCTCCCTGTATCATCTCTGGCATTCTCCCTATATCATCTCTGGTATTCTCCCTGTATCATCTCTGGTATTCTCCCTGTATCATCTCTGGCATTCTCCCTGTATCATCTCTGGCATTCTCCCTGTATCATCTCTGGCATTCTCCCTGTATCATCTCTGGCATTCTCCCTATATTATCTCTGGCATTCTCCCTGTATCATCTCTGGCATTCTCCCTATATCATCTCTGCCATTCTCCCTGTATCATCTCTGGCATTCTCCCTGTATCATTTCTGGCATTCTCCCTGTATCATCTCTGGCATTCTCACTGTATCATCTCTGGCATTCTCCCTGTATCATCTCTGGCATTCTCCCTGTATCATCTCTGGTATTCTCCCTGTATCATCTCTGGTATTCTCCCTGTATCATCTCTGGCATTCTCCCTGTATCATCTCTGGCATTCTCCCTGTATCATCTCTGGCATTCTCCCTGTATCATCTCCGGCATTCTCCCTGTATCATCTCCGGCATTCTCCCTATATAGTATTTTTCATTCTCCCTGTCCCTATATCATCTATGTCATTCTCTAGGGGCATTTCTAGGATTTGAAGACATTAGGGGTTTAGCCCAAAGCCAGTAAGGGGGGGGGGGGGGGGGGGGGGTCTAGTGTTTTTGCAACACTGACCCAAATTTCAACAGGTAAATGCATGAATTTGATGAAAGAACATTGAGATATTTTTTCAGGTAATTTACACCTTCTCACCTGCCTCATCAGACACTGCCAGTACTCAATTACAGTCACTACTGTGGGTCTCTCTACTCTGGAACACTCTCTACCCTGGAACACTCTCTACTCTGGAACACTCTCTACCATGGAACACTCTCTACTCTGGAACACTCTCTACTCTGGAACACTCTCTAATCTGGAACACTCTCTACTCTGGAACAATCTCTACCATGGAACACTCTCTACTCTGGAACATTGTCTACTCTGGAACACTCTCTACTCTGGAACACTCTCTACTCTGGAACACTGTCTACTCTGGAACACTCTCTACCATGGAACACTCTCTACTCTGGAACACTCTCTACTCTGGAACACTGTCTACTCTGGAACACTCTCTACTCTGGACACTCTCTACTCTGGAACACTCTCTACTCTGGAACACTGTCTACTCTGGAACACTCTCTACTCTGGAACACTCTCTACTCTGGAACACTCTCTACTCTGGAACACTCTCTACTCTGGAACACTCTCTACCATGGAACACTCTCTACTCTGGAACACTCTCTACTCTGGAACACTCTCTAATCTGGAACACTCTCTACTCTGGAACAATCTCGACCATGGAACACTCTCTACTCTGGAACACTCTCTACTCTGGAACACTCTCTACTCTGGAACACTCTCTACCATGGAACACTGTCTACTCTGGAACACTCTCTACCATGGAACACTCTCTACTCTGGAACACTCTATACTCTGGAACACTCTCTACTCTGGAACACTCTCTACTCTGGAACACTGTCTACTCTGGAACACTCTCTACTCTGGAACACTCTCTACCATGGAACACTCTCTACTCTGGAACACTCTCTACTC